TATATATATATATATATATATATATATATATATAATANATAATAAATACATATATATATATATATATATATATATATATATATATATATATAGATATATTTTGTGTTGAATATCCACTGTTGTGCTGTTTCTCCGCCCTGCCTCGCCTCGCAAAAGTCCAGGTACCCACTGTCATACGCAAACACCTAAACAATTCACCCACAATGGAACTCACCCAGCAGCCCAGTACTCAATGTGCCCATACCTTCCATGTACTTATCATTCACCATCTGTCTAGTAGGAACCATGCACCATATCACCTTACACAGTACACACCCGTCCACTGTCCCTCTATTTTGTCCCATGTTCTCACCCGCCCGCACGGTGTACCGAAACTCTATACCCCCCGCGGCCTCTGCTGCACCTCAGGTGATCATTCCGGGTGCGCCTGTCCTGAATGTTGTGGTGACGTCCCTGGTCTTCCTGTATGTGAGTATACTGATGCACGATATAACGGGTGCGATTGCCGGTGTGCTGCTGCCGAGCAATTTGGAGGGCAGAGCCCTGTATATGCGGGTTGGGGGGTTTGTAGCCTTGTGTGTGGGTCTGTACTTGCTCTAGTAGATATATATCCACGCACGTAGGTTGGATGTGTGTATGTACACATGTGTGCTGAGGTGTATGGCTGTGTATGCCAGGTTAGATATGGGTGTAGATGTGCAGTAATATAGCGGTTGCGGGAGGACACTCTTAGGAGCCGTTCCACATATCCCACGGGCGAGCTCTGTGGGGCTCTGTGTCTGGGCCAATATGCGATCCAAAACACGCCAACACCACGCATATGTATGCACTTGTACGCTTATGTATGTACTTGTACGCAACGTCGATGGCAGAGCACACAACACCACACATAATATACTTATACGCATATGTCGACGTATATCGATATATTTCGATTGCGGGAGTGCTACTGACACATAGGCTCTAGGCAGGGTCAGATACGTATGGCTGATGCCTCATCTGTGCATCTCTGTGTGCTCGAATGAGCGGGCTACGCTGGGCCACGAGGGACCAAGAGATACGTAACAGTTCGATACTACAGCAATCCGTGGGGCAATCGTGTGCACGCACTATGTATATACACACTATGCTCGTGCGTCGCTGGACCCTATTGGTGCAACTGTGCCGCAACGCCGCATATGCATACACAGACAACCCTTGACACACGCGTGAGTGTACATGTACCGATACACACATGTGCTTCGAAGTACATAAGCTTCTGCATAGGTATATGGGGATGTGGATGGTGGCTGCGAGATCCTAGTCTACCCTGTTGGTCCTATGAGGGGTGGACCAGACTTTACTTTGGGGCAGGCTTGGAGGAGTACCGAACAGCTGCACTAACCCGTCAGTGTGCGGTGCAGACTATTCACCTACGGGTGTAGTCTAATGAGAGCATGGCCGCTAAACAAGCGCAGCCACACATGGGGACGGTGTCAGGGATGTGCTGAGACCTACACAAACTATGTACGTGATGAGGAGGACGCGCAAACTATGGTAGTGCCGGGGGGGGGGTGTTGTGGGCAAAATTATCTGGTATTCGCCTGGAGTGTGTTTCCTGATACTATCCTCGAGTGCACCTCCGTACACCTCTGCAAACACCACGCTATGAGCCTGTCACAACTGCAGCAGGTTGCGATGCGGTCCTGTCGGAGTGCGTGCACCTATCCCCAGCATTCGGGTGCATAGAGCCGTGGCTGACTATGCTGAGGCATGGCTCGTGGCAGATTGGATAGGGGCATATGAAGCAAGAGTTCTAAACTTCTATGGTAGTGATAGTACACATTAGAAATGGTGTGGCTATGGCGTTGTGAAGCGGAGGTCTTAACACGAGAGAGCGAGAGAGAGAGAGAGAGAAAGTACCGAACATCTCCATGGTTACGCGAGCTTCAGTGCGCGTGGGTGCATATCTCGCGGCTACAAAAACGTGCAGCGCGCAGGAGTGCTGATTGTTAATCCGAACGAAGCTACTGACGTGTACGAACGAGTACCAAACTGTGCTGGTAAAGCGGGCCAAATATTAGTTATTAGGTAGTATGTAGTGCTATGTAGCGAGTTAAAATAATAAGGGATGTCGGTTGAGGGTGGCTAACGTGCAAGAGATTAAAGTAAGACATACGGCGTCAAGCAATAATCCAGTGTATACTTGTACGGTGCGGCGCAGAAGCTTCCCACAATGTCTGTGCTTATTGAAATCTACGACCACAAACTTGTTTACAGCAAAAATCACCACTCCAGAGGGTATGCTGGGGTCGGTATGGGGAACGCAGACTTCTCAGTGTATGGCCTACTGGAGTTGTCTTAGTCTCCTGCCGATTGATAGCTTTACTTCGGCCTATAGGAAATCACAAAGTTGACCCTATGTGTCGCCGATATGCCGAAGTTCGGTACACTTTGCACACACTCTGCCGCTCTTTTCTCGTATTGATTGTGGTCTCTCTCTACGAAAATATAGCACCAACAAAGAAGTGAATAATCAGGCCCCAACTACGTCAGCAGTACATGCACAGATACTTTGAAGATATGTAAACGCTACCACAATAAGCTTAGAAGTATTTATGCAACTACATAATGTATATATCTATATCTATATTGTATGAGTGTTAGTCCAACTTCTTCATTTCACTCGACTTCGCAATGCCCACCTCTTCTGCGTGGTATCTAATACTACTTGTAACACTGTCGTCGCCTGTACTACCAGCCGCTTCCAGCGCTCTCCGTCTCTCCTCGTTTTTAAGTCGATCGCCTTTCATAAACAAGATCAACCCATCTCTCTTCAGAGAGGACTGCTCGAGGCGGGTCATAAACACATCGTATGCCATCGCTGTAAAGTTAGCGAAGGTCAACAAGATGAGATTCTTAGCAATGTCTTGTGTTGCACTTACTACTGGGCTCTGTCCGCGTCCCTTTGACCAGGCAATGGCTATGACAGTGGTGTACAGGAACTTGGCTGTGGAAAATGTGGATATCAACGAGTACAGCGACACCCACCGACGCGTGATATCACTGTCACAGAACACCCCGTAGTAGATCACCAGCGCAGAGAACATCAGTTGCAGGTTGATTGCCCGTCCCAGAATTACCGCCAATTCGCTAGGTTCTACAGTATAGGTGCCATTAGAAATATTACCACCATTGTGTGCATTCATCTCTGACAGAGAATCCCAGGCATCAAATAGGTCGAACAGAATCCGGCCATCATTGTGTTGGATGTATACGAGATATGAGAGTGCTAGGGCGTTCGCAAGGTGGGCTGTGCGGAGGACCGACCAGTTGCTAAGCGACGTCTGGACAACATTGATATCATCCTTATTGCTGTTGTTAATAGCGTTGTCACCGTTGGCGCTGGTGTCGTCAACCGAACTCGCCATTCTATTCGTATACAGTAACTTGTACAAGCAAGGTCTTTAGTCTCCCGAGTGCTTGTAGCTTTATGTAACTATGTGTAGATGGTTTTACGTTCAATATGATTTGTTTTTGAGATTAATTACTGATTATTATTTTGCTCCACTCACCGCCCAACGGCCACGGGTATTAATAAATACTAAATATAAAAGCTTCTCTCTGAAATACGGGCTGCGTTTTTAAAAACACGTTGATAAAT